GAGCTCGCGCAAACCGGCGATGGGATAAAAGGGGGAGAAAGAAAAAGCGCATAATGTCGCAGCTCTTCCCAATTACTGCGATTAAACGGATTCCCTCGTGAGGGAAACTATTACGCCGTGAAAGCCAGCGGTCGCTCGTTCGTTCTCTCGCTCGCGACGACAGAAAGAATGGCAAACTGGAAGGGACGAGACAGACAGAGAGAAAGAGACCAACGACGAAGGGTCGTATGAAAGGGAAAAAGAAAACTCGAAAGAAACTAGAATAAAACAAACAAGAAAAAAAACAAAACAGAACCTTGTAGAGAAGCCGAGAGAGGGAGACAGAGAACGGGAGGAGACGGGTGGCAGTAAAGTAAGAGGAGAGTCAGATAGAAGGTGGAAAAAGCTGGGAGAAAAGGGACGACGATGAGGATTTATGTAATTTGTGTATATGACTTGAATAACTGCCTACATAATATAACGCTGCTGGCTGGAGTGCGCGCGAGCAGGCGACGCCCTTCATCATGGAGCTTTAATTAAAATTACGTACGTTTGCTGCTTGTAACGTGCGCGCGAGCCAACCATCCACTCCACCCCCCACCCTCTTTCTCTTCATCTCGCTCGTATCCTCCATCTTCCGTCCTCTCCGCCACTGTTTAATATTTTTATGAGCTTTTCACGAGACGACGACGATGTACGTGGATGCACGTACACGGATTCCCGGACGGCGAGCCACCCTCTCTACTCGGGCTCACCTGTGCGGAGAGGATACACATAGCGTCTTTGAAAGGCGTTCATAGCCGCTGCTTAAAGTGGTACTTTTTTCTTCTTCGCCCCCTACGTGTCCCCTGCCACCACCCCCATCCTTGCTCCACACTCACCCCCTCCACCCCGTCGTTTTCTTTTCTTCAACGTCTGCACGAAGGCTGCTTCCCCTACCCCTCCCCCCTCCGTTCCTCTCTGGTCCACGACGGCCATTCGTTCGCGCGTATCCCGCGAATTCTCATTTGTGAGATCCGTATGAAAGAATCTCTCCTCTTCGTGGCGGAACGCGCCGTCGCCGCGCATTTCCAAGGCGTGTCGATTGTGGGGGTGGGGGGGGGGTGAGAACGACGGGGATTGTCTTTAGTGTCGGCGTTACCGAGCAAAGCCGCAGACGGTGAAAAGAGCGAAGAATTAAGGGAACAGACAACCAATGGCCAGGGAGAGGGGGGATTATTTGCATCTGTCGGAGCGTGACGATGCGGACGTTTAAGGGTTCGAAGGCTGAGGTGTCGTGGACTCGTTCTGTAGGATGTGGTGGTTTGTTGATGATGGATGGGGTGAATGATAATAATTAGTTTCATTGCTCTTTCATTGGGGCATCAGTTTAGATAGATACAGTAAATCATCGATGAGTGTTCGACCTAACCCAGATGTAACGCTGACTTTTTAATGAAGTTTTGCACAGTGATAGAGATTAAGTCTGAAGCTAATGGTATTTGTTTCAGTTGAATGTGGATATTAGTTCATAAAATATTTAATGTTCAGTACTGAGGAGCCGTGGAATATTCATGGATGATTTACTGTATTTTTGAAGGTTCCTTGGGTCTGTTCTGTTCGTATTACGGACACATGCACACTTTCACTTATAAATGTGAGGACACTTATCGAATATGTAGTAAATATTTGGGGTTAAAACTGTGTTTAGGTGATAGAAGAGTATACTTCGTTTTTCTGATAAATTTGCTAGTTTTTAATTACTGATTTATTAGGGTATAAAAAGCATTAAATGAGTTAGCGTGAATCCATTGGATTCACCTTAACCAGATAAGGGATAAAGCTTGATAAATAAGGATTACGCTACTATAAAATAATAAATGTAGCCTAAACTATACAATTTTTACAAAACATCACATTTTCATCGTACAGACCAAGTGTCCACATACTTATGCGCGCTAGTGTAGAACTGATTTTGTATAGTCACGCCACTTGGTACTGCCAATGCGATTATAAACAATCGTGGACACGATACTGTGATCATGTTATTTTCTGGCTAGATTCTGTAAGTTGTCCTTGTGGTTAAATTGAATCTTGTTCTGAAGCAAAGCGATATTTGTCTACTATCAGTCACTCCCATGATACGGTGAGGATAAGGATATACTTATCAGCACCTTAACAGACTAGGTATAGGAAGTAAAATCGTATCTTCTTAAACTACGAAAAGAGCCGTCTTTTTCAAAATGGTATAATTTAATACTTTATATGTTTTTTTATGTATCTCAGATTAAGTGATTGTCTGAAAATAATTTTTTATCTCGTCCATTTCTTATCTGCTGCGCAATTTAAAATTGAAATATCAATACTATTTCCGATACCATCGATGTGACACATTGTTCGAACAATGTGTCTTCAGGTTCATTCTTGTATTATCTTTAAAATACACAATGGAATATACATTCTGATTCCGTTTCGCAACAAAATGTATCGCTGAATAATCAGTTCGTCAGCTCATTGGTTATCACCACATATAAAAAAATATGGAGCAATCGAGGAAGTTTGGTCGGCGATAACTTACCTATACTTTTAAATCCGCAGCATCGTTTTATTTTCCATTCGATTTCACCGGCGAAAATCCTCTTTACCCTCTCCCACCGTGTTGTTATCAGCAG